ATACAGACTGTCCCAAAAGTCCCGGACCGGTTTGATATTTTCAAAACGACAACAGATAAATCAATAAGATTTGGTACATCAACACCACACCTAAAAATCTACTTTTTAAAGGAAATATTAGTTTTCTGTCATATCATGGGGACGTCCCGCAAGGAGTCAGAAGAAAATCTTAAACAGAAGCATAGGTTGACATGTAAATCAAATTAAAGGTCTTTACTAGCAGAATATAATGCCGCAAATTTGAACTCAAACGGACAACCGAGCCAATAATGAGAGTGGTTCGAAGATTAATTAAATTTGCATAGCTATTATACGCTTACTCCTCAGGGGGCACAGCCCTAGGAATCGAAAGAAAATTTTTAACGTAAGCATAGGTCGATATGCATATCAAATTAAAGGTCTTCACTAGTAGATTACAAAACCGTAAATTCAAGCTCAAAAGGACGCCTGAGTAAAAAATTGCAGTCGTTCAAAGATTCAAAATGGCAGTTTCAAGAAATCTTTGAACGGCTGCCATTTTGTAACGGATGATCCTTTTTAAGCGCAGTTTCTGGCATTGAACTCTACTAGCTAAGCCCTTTAAACTGATGTGCATATTGACCTATGCTCCTATTTAAGATTTCCTTCTGACTCCTTGTGGGACGTCCCTATGATATGACAGAAAATTTTTAGTTCCTCAAAAAAGTAGATTTTTAGGTGTGGTGTTGATGTACCAAATCTTATTGATTTATTTGTTGTCGTTTAGAAAATATTAAACCGGTCCGGGACTTTTGGGACAGTCTGTATATATATATATATACATATATAAAAATTTGAACGAGTGGTGTTTTTGGCCTCTGGGGACATCAAAATGAAAAAGTAAATCGGTCCCGGGCCTAAGTCTTACCATGAGACCTACGGTAATAGCTACTTCCCTATAGGGAAATTCGCTAAAAGACAAAAATAATAGCCACTGTAACCATAGAAAAATGCCAATCCTTTCTTGAATAAAATAATTTTATTTATTGCTTTTGTTAATTTTTACTTTGTATAGTAATCGTCATCATTCTAACACAGTAGAACCTCGATAACAAGACTCTCAAGTGGATTATTAAATAAGACTTGTTATCAAGGTTGACTTCTTATCGAGGTTTGCAAAAACATGTGATAAGGGCTAAAATAAAATTCAAGGGGATTAGAAAATGGCACTTGTTAAAAAGGGTGACTTCTTATCGAGGGTCTTGTTATCAAGGTTCCACTGTAATTGATAAAACAATAGCTTACATAGAAACTGTAACTAAATAACATTGTAAAAAGGATTTAAATTTTAAGTGTTTAACAAATAATAAATCATAGAGTACATACGTAGAAGAGACGGAAGAAAACTACAATTATAGGCCTAATACTTATATGTTCAATGTACCGTTAAAGGTTTTAATAAATATTGTATTTCTGAGTTGTAGGAAAAAAATCAAAAACGAGTGCAACAGCCATTATTTGATTTGGGGAGAAGGTTATATATTATTCAAAGTAGAGGTAGGCAGCAGGTTCGGCTAGACACGGAGGTGTTAATTGGGGTAGTGTGTGTTTTGTGATAGATGAACCGCCAAAGTACCTTTTAGCTATAAAATAACAAGCAATATTCTATCATATATTACTGCGTTTAAACAGCAATACTGTTTAACCAGGTTGGACTACGAGACACGATCTTCACCTTTTAAGTCGTTGGCCAACGAAGGAATTGCAGGGTACTGGTCATCTCAAATTAAAGTAAATATCACACCTCATTTGGCATATTCGGAGTCAGTGTGTAACCGCGCCATATACTTCCCTTTCAATGGGTTCATTCACCATGACTAAAGTTACCATTGATTTTTGCACTCGAAACCTGTGTTCAGTCGTTACATTATATTGTTGCTAAAATAACTGACATTCATTGACTAGACATTGAGAAAACATCAAAGTGTAAGTTGTTTTATTGATTAGTCTGCACAATAAATTAAATTGTTATATATTTTCATAGTTTTCAATATCCTTGGTATTTCATTATTAGCATTAAAAATCATTCAATAGAAATTTGGTAAAATACAGCAAATAAAAGGCCACTGCAAAAGATTCGCAGAGTCGTAGTGAGCAGAGTAAATTCAGTGTACCTTTAAGATTTATTTCAGTCTGGAAGAACTTCAAGCAGTATCAGGAACGTCCCATAAGGATCTCTGGGAGTAATTTTATTCCACAGGGCCCACTCAAATATTATTTTAACATCAAACTTCCACTGCCAAACGCTCTGTTGTTTATTTTATTCACAGTTCTTCCAACCCAGGGGCAACCAAAATTTGTACAATTCAGAACAGCTAGTTTACACGTATAAAGACAAAATATTTTCTTGCAGTTTTAATGTGAAATACCCCCGCCGCAGCAAACCTGCAGACTAGCGAATTTCAACTTGTCTGATTACATTTTTACTAAAATATTCTCATAAATAAGACGTATATTTCCAATTTAAATAACATTAGATTTAACGAGTGCTTAGGTTTGCTGCTACGGGGAAGGTAAAAAGTGTTTTTGACCATATGTCAATAGTATACGATGAAATAAATAAATTTGCCAAATTTTATCAACATTACATCCATAAACAAGTAAATTACAATAGTTTTTATTTTCTCCATAAGAATAACATGGGAATTTTAAATAACACTTTTTTAAATTTTCTCCGTGACCGTTAGGCATTCAACAGCGCTTCAATTTAGTAAATTATTTATTTTTTTAAGCTCTACAAAATGGTCTAGGAAGAAATTGCAGAATTTTTTGTTTTTTGGGCAAAAAAATGGGGAAAACCCATTTTTACTCCATAAAACCCCCCATAAACCCCTGTTCCCATGGTCCGATTATGCTGGTTCGCAAACTCGTTCAAATAAACATAGGTTTACACGTTTGTACCAAATTTCATCAAAATCGGATCACGTTTGCTTGAGTTATCGCGCTAACGGACACATATATAAATATATATTAATTACAGTAGCCCTAAACGTGAACAATATCAAATACAAAAATATATCTATGAATTTGAATGGATGGTGTTTTTTGCCTCTGGGGACCTCAAAACGAAAAAGTAAATCAGTCCCGGGTCTAGGTATTACCATGAGACCTACGGTAATAGCTTATTCCCTATATGGGAAATTCGCTAAAACCATCTTGTAAACAAATTTTGTGTGGCCAAATATGTTTTATTCCATCATAGGCCTATATGATATGCATTTTAAATCCGATAATTTTACAATAAAACAGCAATTGTGACGACGTAAAAAGCGTTGAAGTGAGATTTGCGGCCGATTCGCACACTGATTATAAGTAGCCTACAGTAGAGAGTAATAGCTTTGACTATTAATATAATAATTCAGTATCCAATAGTCAATGGTAATAATCAATTGAGAAGTGTATAGACCTAGTCAACAATACCACCTTCCATCGCATACCTGCCTCTTCCATAATTATTATCACCACAATACAATTACTCATACTATACACAATTTCCAGTAGGTCTGAATAGAAACAAACTAAAACAATACTATCCAATAAAATTCACAGTATGCCCTTCACATAATATAACTTTGGTATCCTAACATCATTAAACGTATCAATTTGACTGAATCAATTGCTAAATAAATAAGATTAAACAAAGAAAAGTAAAAACAATTACATGATAGTTTGTTTTGAATTAGCTGTTTGGTTAAAATAACATTCATTTGAAAAAAGAACTGGTCTCATGTTGAAGAAATTTAAAAAGTAAACACACTAGTAAAGCTAGTGACGTAATTATCTATGTTAATTATCCATACCGTTATCAGTTCTAATATCTGTAATAATTACCCACCTATTGAATCAACCTACATTGTAATTTCCAATATTAATTTATTAAAAGTATAAGATATTTACAGTTGAAATAAAAGTGATATTTTGCCTACATCAGCGGGCCCACATGTAACCACAACTAAACACGCCAAACAATCTTTTTTTTAGATTTCATAAGGATGGTTTGTCTAATTGCAGTATCCTAGGTCAATGATACCGCTGTGCTCAATCTGTGTCATCCATCAGTTTATCTTTGGATAAAACCCGGCTGAGTTTGTGGTGGTAATTTAAAATCGTGATTCCCGATTATTCTTGATCTCCTTTTCTATGACATCAATATTTCTGAGCCTAATCCAAACAAATTGTAAGCAGACTAACATTAATTGTAAACAAAAAGCTACCGTTTGAATTAATACGTGTAAATATTATTTCCCAACTCTTTCCTAAAAAAGTTGAGCAGTAAAATGATTTGCATATCTTTTTCTTTTAATACTCGAGTACAGAGCCTCGATTTGTATACAGCAATGGTTTTACTTATCTCTGTGGTCTAATTATAACCACTAATCTTACTTATTTCCAATAATCAATGACAAAATCAGAGTAAATAAAATAACCTAATAGTTCTACAGAATATTTTTATATCCAACCAGCTGTTAGTTAAAACAAATTATATTTCACTAAAACAAAATCAAAGATTGCTTTACAAAATAATTTGAACATCCTAGTATTTTACTATGTATATTTAATTAATCTGTCATCCTCTTACCGAAGAATTGAACGTATCAATGAACAGCAAAACACATAGTATAAATAAGTCAACCCTTAGTAAGTCTTTGAATTTTTATCCAAATGCTGAATTTGTGTCACAAACGCTGAATGTTTACAGCTGTTATGTTAAGCAAATTATATCATACCAAAAGCTAGTTTAGAATGTTAGCGTCGGCTGCTAGACTTAAAAAAAATTAAAACTTAGTTTCTAAAAAGCTGGGACCCTAAACTAAAATTATGGCTTCGACATTCCCTAGTTCTCAAAAATATTTTTCTTTCAACACAAATATCATGAAAATCCGTCAAGTGGTTGATTCAGAATCGTGAAATTAAAAAACCCTGTCACGTATTAATATTATAGATGATTATTATCCTTCCTAGATGGTTTATACTAGGTTTACCTTGTGCTTCCTCCACTTCGAGCAAAGTTAACACTAGAAATTTCCTCAAAGCGGATGTGGATGGGTGGCTTGTGGATGAAGATGAACCCTCTCTCCAAGGGGTAGAGAAAACCTGCAGCTGCCTTGTATGAACAGCCGATAGCTGGAGTCCCTGTGTGACTGGACAGAAACACGTCAAATCAACTCCCTGAATAGCTTGGATTTACCTAGTTACAAAACTTAGATACTTTTTAACCGCCAATGCAGCTTACTTTTTTATGTTTAAAACTTTTATTTTGAAAACAAAACTAAGAGAACAACCCTTGGGATTAATGACATACACCAGAAGTTTTACCTTTATACATTATAATCACCAAGGTACTCACATGCCATACGACATTATTATAAGATGCAAAATAATTATGCTAGAAACTCCATTTCTTACCCAATAAATCCTCCTGGTGTTGTAATCTTGCGGTTGACTATGGCTCGCATAACTTTGCCTAAGACTTCCCAAGTTGGACCCGACAGCTCCTTAGACAGTTTATCTTCATACTTCTCTTTCAACTCATCTCTATAAAATATTTTTATTAAATAAAGGCAAATCAAAATACACTAAAAGTGGTGAACCTATGATCTTGAGTATGTTAGTGAGGAGTGGAGTGTGTTAATATTGCTGCCAGATAGATAATTTTAGATTGAACACAGCACAGATTTTCACAAAAATAGTTCCTAATTCAAGTCAAATTTATTTACTATTTAAATAACATTAAATTGACAGTGTTTTAACATTTTCTCCGTAACTACAGTATCTAAATAACTATACATCTCCAGTCTAGGTCTTGCCATGCCACCTATGGTAATAGCTGATTTCCCTTTAGGGAAATTCGCTAAAAACCACCCTTGACACACTTTGTAAACACTTTAATATTCTAAATTATTTGGTTTTATACACTTTACAAAATACAGGGTGTCTAGTTTATTTCTATTTTAAAACTCAAGACAAATTCCAGACTTTACAAGCCAATTTTTTTTAACAATTAGTGATGTATTGATAAGTAATCAAAATTCATCGATTCTCGAGACCTATACCGAAAAAATCTATTCTTGATACTGATACCATTATTTATAGTTTTACCAAATGTTCTAAATAATTTGGTTATACTACACCAACCCCTGTCTTTATGACATAAAATATTTTTTTTAATATCAGGTTGTTGTTTTTTTTAGTAATGAAAAATTAATGCAGCAATGAAAAATTCTAACTTGCTAATTCGGGTTTAAATCCTTTTTAACACATTAAATAACTACCATATCAAAGGTACATGAAGATCTAACAACAATTTTATTAGTAGAACCTCAATTATCCGGGGTAATGGGGTGGAGGGACACCACAGTTAATCCAACAAGCCATAAACATGAGTATTTTAAACCCATAAAACGCCTAATACTATATGGATGGATGTTAATATGATGTTACATCATCAAAATACAATAAATATTGCGCAATCTTGATATGTTAAATCATTAACCTTGGTTCAGTAATAAAAACTGCACCGTGTGCTTACTCAAACAAAACAAAAATTGCTTAACACTGTACAGCAAAAAATCACGTAAAGAACAAAACAAAAGAAAGTCTAGACTAGTAAACTACTGATGCCGTAATCATCATAGGCTACTACTACATGAAGTTTCAGAACAGAAGAATGTGGGTAAAAACATTAAAAAACTCATAAAACAACATAAAATCATAGTACTTAAGTCTTTAAGGTGATAAAAACAGTTGTAAAATAAGATAAAGATAAAGACGTAAACAGCACTTATTATTTCTCTTTGTTCTTCTATTCTTTCTTTGATTTCTCTTCATCAAAAAGTTGTCATGATTACTAATCACTCAACCACTAACTGTTGTAGTAGTGTTGTGACATAGCAGACAGATATGTAAGGAGCAGACGATTGTCAGTCTGCCAGTGTCAGTGCAAGATTGTCAGTCTGTCAGTGCAAGCGGATAGCTTGTCCTTGAAGCTATTGATCGATACTTCTCTGTCTTGCTTACATTTTTAAATTAACTGTGATGTTTCAAACACAATAATGGTGGAACCTACTGTATATAAAAATGGCCACAAATAGTTAAATATATAGTTCATTTCAAAATATTAGACTGTAAATACCCCCGCCACAGCAAACCTGCAGACTTAGCGAATTTCCATTTGCCTGATTGGATTTAAACTAAAATGTTTCCTAAAAAATATTACATTTATTCCCTATATAAATAGAATTAGTTTAACAAGTACTTAGGTTTGCTGCAACAGGGAGGGTAAAAGGGAGACGGACAACGATCCAGATCTTTGTTTGGGTTAATCCCCTGATTTATGGCCTGAGGGTATCGGTCACTGGAGGAGGGGTGGGGAATCGAGAATTCTGAATCCCTCTGAAGGCGTTAACTTTTTGTCAAAGATTTAGCTTAGAATGCGATTACTTCTTTACTGTACATCTTTTGTTAGAATTTAAGGCATTTATCATTTTATTTTATGATCAGAACTATTTTTTGATTAGTAAACCTTCATTTGATTTTAGCGGAATTCCTCTATAGGGAAGTAGTAGCTATTACTGTAGGTCTCATGGTAAGACCTAGGCCCAAAAACAGGCAAAAACACCATTCGTTCAAATTTTTATATTGCATATATATATATAGATAAGTAAAATAATTAAAACCAGAGTACCCTGAAATTCATTTTTATTAAACTAATACGTATTTCGACACTAAGGCCATGATCACATTATTATAAAAGTACTAGCTGACCCGGCGAACTTCGTATCGCCTAAGTTATAGGTTTCCCCTAAGACAGACCGATGGAAAGAAAGTACCGTTACGTTTAATTTTCAAGATGATCTCGTTCGCATCGCTCAATCACATCCTGGTTGAAGTTCGTTCGCTACGCTCACTCACCTTTGGGTTGGAGCTCGTTCGCTACGCTCACTCACCTTTAGGTTGGAGCTCGTTCGCTGCGCTCACTTGCCTTCAGGTTAGCTCGTTCGCTACGCTAACTCGCCTCCAGGTTGAAGTTCGTTCGCTACGCTCACTCACCTTTGGGTTGGAGCTCGTTCGCTGCGCTCACTTGCCTTCAGGTTAGCTCGTTCGCTACGCTAACTCGCCTCTAGGTTGAAGTTCGTTCGCTACGCTCACTCACCTTTTGGTTGCAAATTAGCTGTTGTCATAAATGTAAAAGAAATAATAGTGCTGCACCCTGTTGGTAATCCTTGTAACTTTAATGCTATTGAACATCATAGAACAGAACCAACTTGTTTAATTGAAACAGCTGTTAAGATTCATTAATTCCATTTCTCATAAGGTTAACATGGGAAACTCCAGAGCCACTGGGGCGGAGCCCTTTTAAGAATTTCGAAACGGGAAATAGTTTACGTCCGATTCGCATACCTACAGAATTTACACACCAAATTTCATAACGATCGGTGAAGTCGTTCCGGAGGAGTTTGCAGACAAACACTGTGACACGAGAATTTTATATATTAGATGTAAACAAACAAATAAATATATAGTTAATAACATATGTTTTGAATGCATAGTAAATTTTGATTACATGGTTAGGCCTATTTTTTTTACATGTGAATGTATACAATTCTTCCCTGATTTGTCTGATTTTTTCATGAATTGGATTTTGTTTTTGTTTTTGCATTAGGCTATATTAAGAATTTGGTTGCCGTGTTCTTTTGAGTGTAGATAGATTTGTAGTTCAATCAATCAATCAATCAATCAAAATAACTTTATTCATAATGCACATTTTGTACAGAATGGAGTCAGTTATAAAAACACAATATTAAACTTACGACTACTTACAGAGAATATTGTTACTATCAAAAAATCAAATTTCAGGAAGTTGGAAAAAATTTTCTAATTTATACAAGGGTCTGTTGGTGAGAAATAATTTCAAACATTTTTTAAATGAATTAAAATTAGTTGGGATTTTTTCGTAAACCGATAAATTGTGTCTGTTGGATGCCAATTCATTACCTTTTCTGGTTGAATACATATGAAAAGAGTTCAATTTTGGCAATATTTCATGGTTTGATTTAATATAAAGGGCTATTTGATAAATGTATAAGCTAAAACCAGTCATAATTCCTATTTCTTTAAAGTGCTCTTTTGCGGATTCTTTTGATTTAGTTTTAGTATGATGCGAATTGCTTTTTTCTGAAGTTCCAGAATGCTGTTTAGGTTAAAATTTGATGTGCCACCATAAAGACACAACCCAAAAGAAATGTGTGATTCAATCAGGGAATGATATACTATTTTTAAGGTTTTTAAACTACTAAATTTTGACATCTGTCTTAATGCATGTATGCCTGAATTGACTTTATTAGAAACATTTTCAACATGACTGTCCCAGTTGAATTTATCATCTATATGCAATCCAAGAAATTTTATTGTTTTAACTTCATTTAGTAAAGTTGTATCAATAAAAATATTAAAATCAGGTGTATTTTTGCTCGTTGAAGAAAAATGTATATAATTAGTTTTTATTGGATTCGGTAATAAATTGATTTCATTTCAATATTGGTTACATTTGGTAAGCTCAACAAAAGAAAAGACTTCCACATTAGAATTTGAATTTCCGGTAAAGTAAATTAAGAATAATAGGGGCCCCAATATTGATCCTTGAGGGACACCATACTTAACAATTTTTGTTGAAGAAGTGTAAGTAATTAATTGGTTATGGCTATTTATGTGATCAATTGTGACATACTGCTGCCTGCCTGTAAGATAAGATTCAAACCAACGCCAAGCTCTCCCTTTTACACCGTTATATTTAAGTTTTTCAAGAAGTAAATCATGTAAGACACTATCAAAGGCTTTTGTTAAGTCCAAGAATACTCCAACTACTTTTTCCTCTGAATCAATTGAATTAATTAAATAGATTCACAGAAATCGACTCCTGCGTCAATCACAGACCTTCCTTCTCTAAAACCATTTTGTTCCTTATCTAATAAATTATTTTCCTCTAAGTATTTTGAAAGTTGTATATGCACAACTCGCTTAAAAATTTTGGAAAATGAGCATAACAAAAAGATAGGTCTGTAATTACACATTTCTTCTGGGCTACCATTCTTATAGCAAGGTTTAATTTTAGATTTTTTTAGTTTTTCTGAGAAAATTCCAGACATGAAAGAGGAGTTTATAACATGTAGTAATGGTAATAATATATATAGACGAGCCTGTTTAATTATTGGCATTGGTATTTCATTCCATCCAGTAGAAAATTTATTATTAAAAGAAGTTATAATTTTGCCCAGCTCTTAATAAGTAATTGGTGAAGATTGGTGAATTTTGATATCAATTTTTTGGAGGGTGAAATAATATTTTTTGAACCAGTAGAAGATATTAGTTTGGGCAATATGTCATTTTCAACCATCATTGTATAGTAATTATTGAAGGGATGACAGACATCTTTAACGTCCGTGCATTTATTGGCTTTAATATATGGTAAGCTTAAACTTTCAACATGGCTTGATTTATGATTTTCTCCAACTTCCCTATTTACAATATCCCATGTT